TTTCTTTCTTTCTTTCTTTCTTTCTTTCTTTCTTTCTTTCTTTCTTTCTTTCTTTCTTTCTTTCTTCCTTCCTTCCTTCACCTGGCCCCGCCTCCCCTCCCTCCCTCCCTCCCTCCCGCCAGGTGCAAAGGGCAGGAGATCGGCTCATTCCTAGGGCTGGCCATAAGGTGGTAGCAACCTGATGCCACATAACAACAACAGTAAGGGCTTTGAAGCAGCAAAATCAGGGAGCTGGAAAGGGCACAGACTGGATTTGTCTTCAGGGTGGAAGGGATGGTCACTCTCGAATTGCCCTTCTCGGCCACACTAGACGCTGTTCCAAGACCTCTGTTCAGAGCACATTACCATAATCTCTCAAGACTGAAGGATGCCTAATGCGAGGGGTTTTGAAATATATGGGATGTTCAAGGAGTGGTTTGCCATTGCTACTTCTCACCCCTAGTTAGTTCTCATAGCTGAATGGGGATTTGAACCCAGGTCCCCTGCTTTTTTTCCTGGGGCACTCGATCTGCTACCACAGTGGCTCTCTCCGAGGGTGGAATCAAGACCGAGAAATCCTGAAGACCATGAAATGGGGCAAGCTAAAATGTTTTGGGCCCCTATGGAGAAAGGACAGGTTGTTACAGCTGAGCATTCTGGGCACAAGAAAAGGGGACAGAACTGCAGGAAAGAAAAGTCCTTGGTTGGGGGAGGATTTGGTTTTGGGGACGTGGCACAGCATCGTTGTACTAGTCAAGACTGCCACGTGGACTTCCAGCCCTCCTGGGAGAGGAATGGGAAAGAGGGATTTCTTCGTTGTGCTTATGCTTAAAACAGTAAAACTTCATAACAGCGGCTTCGAAACATCTTGAGTCCCAGATGCTGTTGGATTCTCCTTCTCAGGTGCTCTAGCTGGCCAGCAGCCTCAGTGGTCAGTGAGCCTGGGAGCTAACAGTTACATCTGGGGACCCAAAGTTAGGGACCACTGCCTTAGGGCAAGAAAATGGAATCTCAAACCGACAGATGGGCAATACTTTTACAGTATTGGAGCCAAATATAAAACTGCATGTCTTCTTCCCCATTTTTAAAATCATAGCTAAAAAAACTAGATTTTTGTTGTGATTGTGGATTTTGGGTGTTGTAGTTCAAACCCTCTGAAGGGGAAGCCTTGGAGAACACTCAGTTAGGCTTCCCCTTTTCACTTGGGCTTAGCTGATTCCTTTTTATATGGGCACATACTGTGGCAGTGATGAAATACTGTATTACGAAATGCTCATATCTCTTATAGCATCTACTCTCTGTGTCCTCAAGTCAATTCTGATTTATAACAATCTTTTCCAGGATTTCCTAGGTAAAGGTAAAAGGTTCCCCTTGACATTTGGTCCAGTCGTGTCCGATTCCAGGGGGTGCTGCTCATCCCCATTTCCAAGCCATAGAGCCAGCCTTTGTCTGAAGACAGTTTATGTGGTCACGTGGCCAGCGCGACTAGACACGGAACGCTGTGACCTTCCCCGGTTTAACCCCAGCGCCACCACGTCCCAGGATTTCCTAGGTAGAGAATACACAGAAGTGGTTTGCCATTCCCTTCTTCTGGGGACATCTCGGGACTCTGCAGCTTGCCCAAGGCCACCCAGGCTGGCTATTCTTGCAGGAGGCACAGGGAAGAATTGAACTTCCAACCTTTGAGCTATCCAGCCATTTATCCATTCTGTACTTCATCCTATATGGTTTTTGCTGCTGCTTGATACAGCGAATTGGCTGGCAGTAACCTTCTGAACCACATTGGCTCTAATCTTGGAGATACGATTAACGTTAGATTGTAAGTAATGCTTTGCGATGACCTTTGGCTATAAGTAAATAAATCAGTACTGTTGACTCCCAAGATGTCTTAATGTACTGCAGTGAAAAACAGCAAAGCGCTGCAGCACCTTAACCATTAACACATGTATTATGTCATATAGTCTGCTGCCTATGAAAATACATTTGTTAAGTTATTAAAGTGTGGTAGAGCTTTCTGTTGATTCTCGTAATTCATATTCCACCTTTGTCCCAATCCTGAGACTCAGGATGGGTCGTAATGGGATTTTTAAAATGTTCAGGTAGAACTGGGGAAAAAAACCAGCTACAGTACATGCAACTGGACAAGAACCAGGGAGAAGTTCATATGATGCTTCACCAGCTCCCTGGGCTTAATTTTTCTGCTCAGTTATCTCCATGGTAGTGCCACTAAAACTGATGATTGCAGATCATGCAGCTTCTTTAAGAAATGTGAAGCAGACGAAACACCCTTTGAGAAGTTTAGGTGACCCAGATGGGAAGTCACCACTGAGCTTCGAGTTGCCTTGTGGACAGTTCCCGACACCCTCTGGATGTCCATCTTCAGTCTGTGTCTTGTTGAAGACCTTCTTGGTGGTTTCTACAAGTTTACTGAGACAAAGTGTTCAAACATTGGATTTCATGCTATTTGCAGCCTTTGTTCCGACTTCCCCTGTATCTAGCCCCATCTAATTATTATTTCTAATTATTATTCTGTGCTGCCAAGTCAGTTCTGGGTATAGATGGTTTCTGACGTATGCAGTACTCAGAAGTGGTTTACCATTCACTTCTTCTGGGCGACTCTGCAGCTTGCCCAAGGCTACACGGGCTGGCTGTTCTCCCAGAATGTAGTAGGGAATTCAACTGCCAACCTCTACCTAATTTACTGGGCTCTTGAGCCAGTCCAGCCCTGTAACAAAGAGTTCCATACAACTGATAGCAGGAAAGAGATGAGCCGAGAAGGCACTTGTTTGAATCCCTGCAACCAATTTACATGGCAATCTTACGACTAGTGAAGAGACTCTCCGTGCCTTGACTGCAACATGGAATTGAAACTTTTCCAAAATTGTTGCACAGATCAGAGAGGTAACATGAGACATTTATGATAGCTTGAAAAATGTGCAAAATGATGAATACATTGGCAAACTGAGTGTTTCTTTCCCACTAGCAAAGCAAAATACATGCCTGTGATGAAAGCTGAGTGCTAAATGGTAGTGTCAGATCCTGAAGCTGAGGCTCCAATACTTTGGCTATCACATGAGAAGACTCCCTGGAAAAGCCCCTGATGTTGGGAAAGTGTGAAGGCAGGAGGAGAAGGGGACGACAGAGGACGAGATGGCTGGACAGTGTCATTGAAGCAACCAACATGAATTTGACCCACCTCCGGGAGGCAGTGGAAGACAGGAAGGCCTGGTGTGCTCTGGTCCATGGGGTCATGAAGAGTCGGACACAACTTAACAACAAATGGTAGTGTCACTGAAGGGAGGGCAGAATCAATTTCCTACTGGGAATCTCCACTGCATGGAGATTTACATCCGAGTTTCTTCCGATAATGGATTTAGGCGCAAGTTCTCTAAAATAGGCAAAATTCCACCAAGACCTCCTGAAATCAATATTCATGTTTTACAAGTAGTGCTGAGAAAAAAGGGCCAGCCATTTTCCAATTTGCTGATTCAGCTTCTGGAACTCTTGGAGAAGATCACAAATCACCCAAAGACTGTCACCAGTAGGTCTTCATTACCTTCCGACCATCATCTCTGTATGACGTGCAGGAAGTCACTCACTGCCTGGAAAAGTTTGAATCAGTGGCAGAGGCAGACAGCAGAGACAAACCAAAGCGAGGAAGGAGGAAATACAATTTTTTGTGTGTGGAATGGACATAAAACACACACACACACAAATAAGATTTTAGTAATAATTCAAAAGTACTGCGAAAGGCAAGTGAGAAAGTCCAGTTAACAGGAGGTGGGGTGAGAAGTTATCCGGCCACCGTAGACTATAAGGGCAACGTATTCAATAATCTGTGCTAGAGGCCTTTGAATCCGGCAAAGCTAAACACGTACAGTTACAGTCTAGAGTTGTGGGCAGTCAGGCAGAGTCAATCGATCAAAGTCCAGAGTCTAACATTACCTAATTGCAGTACTGTATGACACAGAGATGGTTGTGGTTTAACCCCACCCCCCTTTTTCAGATTTCAGTATTATTTATTGTCTGTGGATTCAAATGGAATTGCAGAAAGCAGATTGACGGTGATGCTCTCGCTCTCTTTTTAAATGTTAGTTTAGGGTTAGTCTGTAGAACTTTATTTTAAAAAAGAAGAAGCCAACTCTTAAGTTTCCTTTTCCTTGGATATAAACCATTACCTCCCCTTAGCTTCTGGGATGCCAGAAAATAAGTGTATACTTTTCCACTACTGAAGTTTCCACTATCTTGAAAAATCTTTTGCCCCAGGCCAGCTTCCACGAAGTTTCGATTTAGATTCTGTAACTAAACCGTGAAAAGTTGCCTGTTTTTACTTAAAGAATATCTCAGGACAATTGTAATACAACATATGTATTTTTAAAGGACAGGTATAATGTACAAGTACACATTACAAATACATCTGCATAGTTATGCATGTCAGCAAATAAATATCAGAGTTCATTGGCCAAGCCCTTCCATTGTCACAATCAAGGAAGGAAGGAAGAGACAGAAGATGTTCTCTTCTCCTCTGTGCTAGGTCATTGGCCAAGCCCTTCCATTGTCACAATGAAGGAAGGAAGGGACACAAGATGTTCTCTTCTCCTCTGTGCTAGGTATCGTTTTACTTTTATCCTACAAACATACAACAAAACGCTCCAGTTCATTGTACAGTTAAGACCGATAGCAGACATTTCTTTGTGTAGTCTGATACTGTAACCTGTCGTTGAATAGGTGGGTGAGCCACATTAAGTTGTGATCAATATTTGTTGAAACGAATTCCTTGGAAGGAACCGTTCGTTGCGTGATCCCAAATCCTTGCTTTGATGTCACAAGATGGAGTCACTATAGATGCCCCTCTGTCACGTAAAGACAAGAGGTAGCAACGTCATCTGATGGAAGCAAGATGTGCTTTCCTTACTGTCCCCATGCTCTTGATACTTTTTCCAAAGCCTGTGCATGTAGATATAACGGTCTCCCTCTCATGATTTCATGTAAATACTTCATGGGATGAAGAAAACAGTGGGCTGGGGAAAATTATAGGCAGAAAATGGGAAGGGGGTGAACAATCATCAAGAAACTGCCTTGATTTTAAAAACTCCACAGGAATTATAAAATACACAGAGAAAGGCAAAAACGTAATATCCAGAATCTCCAGGGTCACCATCTGAGATGACAACTATCCAGAATCTCCAGGGTCACCATCTGAAATGACAACTCGGAGACAGCGAAGGAGAATAATGGTGACACTATAAAATGCGTGTCCTTTTCTTCTATGATGCTTTTCTTTCTTGCCTTATTCAGCAACGTCTGATAAACTTACGTTCACACCAGTATTGGAGAAATGAATCACAGACGGTCAAGTCTGCTTCTAGCAAATTCAAGCAGGATAGAAGTGAAATAACGAGGACTGTAACAAACAGTTCATGAAAAAGCACTATTTTTGCAGCAAGATTTATTGCTGGTCTTGTGTCTGTTTCGGGGATGGAGCCGCTGTAACAACAACAGTAGAGACTGCTTTTGTAGAGCCGGACACGGTTCCCTGTTGGAGGTGGGAAGCTGGCACTGTCTGAATTCGTACCTGTGGAAAACAAAGAAAAAGACTAAAAAAATGTAACATTGTCACACTGCAGAAAAACAAATACTGGGAATTTATGAAAACAGGCAAAGCTCTCCCATAATAGCTTGTACTTGACAGTCAGGCACGACTAGACCTTTGTAAAACAAACATACAAACAAGCAGGAAATACACAGCATCGATGCACAGCACACAGCATGCAAAACATAAAACACAAATAATCTGACATTGATCCATTTAAATGGTTTTATAGCATAAACTACATAAAGTTGTTGCCATAGCCAGTGGCAGCTATATCTGCTGCCCATCTGCTTTTGGTCTTCTTGGCACAGATGGCAAAAAAAGTCTGTGCACCAAGGGACTTGTGTACCCTTTGTTCCTTGAAAACAAAAAACTGTGTCCAGTGGATTCCAATCAGAACAAGAAAAAAAAAAGCCCAAAATGGAACTGCCATTTCGCTCAGAACACACTTCAATATGCAAAATGCCCAAGTTATGGGATACTTGCATTTCCCATCTCTCACACATGAGCAGCTATCATCCTCAGGCGTAGTGCTGTGAAGGCTCTCCAAAGGTAGGCAAGTATTCATCGCCCAAAGAAGCCTGTTTGTCTTCAAAGAGTTGTCGATTTCAAGCTTCACGAATGCTCTCCCGCAAGACCCTCTCCCTGCCGCAAACTCCCAGCTCCTTCTAGGGATTTCCAAAATGAACCACTGCAAAAGTCGGCATGGGCAGCAGCAACAGCAGCAATCAGCGGTCACGAACAGGCAGACCCCTCCCTCGCCCACTCACCTGCGTCGCCTGCCCTTGTTGCTGCAACTGTTGCAGCTGCTGTGCGGTCAGGAAGCTCACCGGTTTGTTCCCAGCAATCAGTTTTGTCCCAGCCGGCATTGTAGTGAGGATGATATTTCTACCCAGTCCGCTGATGCTGTTGGAAGACCATCAAGAAGTCAACAGGGATCCGGTGGAAGTGGATTTTGCTCATCTGCCTTTTAAGTTGTAGCGAGGCATGGGGGTGTGGGCTTATACATACAACACTGGCCTGTCAGTGCTGGCCAGTATATACCCTCTTCCCGCACCACACACACCAGGTATTTTACAAGAATAGCAAGAACCGCTTATTATAAAATCACTGCCACTACCAAGTACAGTGGTGCCCCGCATAGCGAGGTTAATCCGTTCCAGATTAACCCTCGCTATGCGGAATCGTCGCTAAACGGGTAGGGAAAACGTATTGACTGGCCTGTCAGTGCTGGCCAGTATATACTCTCTCCCCCACCCCACCCCACCTCCCCTCCCACACAAGGTATTTTACAAGAATAGCAGAAACAGCTTATTATAAAATCACTGTCACTACCAACTAACATTATTAAGCTAAATTCCTTTTGCCAAATGAAGAGGTTTTTTTAAAACTCGCTAAGCGAGGCACCACTGTAACATTATTAAGCTAAATTCCTTTTGCCAAATGAAGGGTTGAATGGTCACTGCCTTTGCAAAAAGAGAACCCTATACACAGACGTGCAAATAACTCTCCTTTTAATTGAGACTGCAGTCAGGAAAACTCTGCAGATCCAGGCTACTTTGGATTGGAATAAATCCAGGTGGGTGCAAATAAAGGGGAAAGGCCAGGCTTGCTCTTAAATAACAGCTTGATTTGTGGGTAGACGGTGCAGGTAAAGGTAGTCACTCTATGGAGATTAAAAGTTCCCATAGGGTGAAACCTGCAGATTAAGCTGCAGCAGACGGGGAAACAGTGGCCTGTGAGCCAACGGTCTCATCAAAACCGAACTGCATTACTCACTTGGCCCCCAGGTTGCCCTTAATGATGGGAGCCGTCACAACGTTCTTGCCTTTCACAGGCTGACTGATGACTGAAAGGGGGACGGTGATCCGGGCAGGCAACTTTCCCTTGGGAGGAAAAGAGAAGAAGAACCAGAGGCAAATGTTAACATGTTTCCATGGGATGCAATTTCTGAGAAAGAAAGAAAACGCGTTCTTTGCATCCTGCAAAACAGTTTTCAGAATGTGGAGTTCCTTCTTTGTGCACAGATGGGTCACAAACAACAGGGTCAGCAGTTACCGTTCTGAGCAGCATTCAGTATTCTACAAAAACAAAGTGACCTCTTATCTCAGACACTGAAAGTTTTTGATTCTGGAGGCAATAACAACAACAACAACAACAAAAATGGCAATATTAGGAACAGTATATATACTGTTACTCGCTTCACGAATTGCAGCCTTGAGTAATTCAGAGAAGCTATGGGCTATGCCGTGCAGGGACACACAAGACGGACAGGTCATAGTGGAGAGATCCGACTAAAGGCGATCCACCTGGAGCAGGAACTGACAAGCCACTCCTGTATCTTTGCCAAGAAAACCCCATGAATGGAAACAGGTGTGAGTTAAGGTAGGGAAAGGAAGGGGGCAGGCTGTTGGGTTGACTGGCTGTGTGTGGGAGATGGCTGCCTATCACCTTCTGATCAGTTGATCGGCAGCCGGTAGGCAGAATAAACTCTCCTGGGGGGGGGCAATTTGTGGGTGAATAACTCAGATGTTCAATATCCAATCTTCACCAAAGTTGACAGGCGTGTTGGGGAAAGACATAGGAAGCTCTGTTGTGATTCTGGAGTCTCTAAGTACCTGGGGGGAGCTTTCCTGGGGGGTCCTTTTTGTGACTATATAACCCGGGGGTCCGTAATCCAATGTTCACCAAACTTTCAGCAGTTGTAGAAAAGCGTCCAAAGAAGCTTCCCTGCAAATCTGGTGTCTCTAGGCCATTGGGGACCAGTGTTATAGCTGCTTAAAGTGCAGACGAATCAACAGATCAATTCATCAAAGAATGCTCATATATTCGTATTTGTTGAGCCGTTAACCTTGACGAATAACGGATCAAAACGAATCACCATTTTATTTTATTTGTCCCCATCTCTACACCTGATGGACTGTATTTGGTGTTTTTGAATAAGAGCAACAATAGCACCAGCTGCTTACCGCCTGGGAGGTGGATACAACAGTCGTGCTCACTGGGACTTGCCGCATGGCCGTCGTGCCTGGTCCAAGGGTGATAGGAGTCCCTGCCGCTCCGGACACGACCGCGACCGCCTTGGAGACGGATGCCGTCATGGTGGGCAACGAAACAGCTGAGGTCAGCACTGTCCCTGGCAAGCTCACTGAGGAGGAAGAGGGCATCTGTTTGGCATGAGTGGCTACGGTAATGGTCTGCCCAGCTTTGGGGGGCATCACCCCCATCCCCTGCACAATCCTGATCGTGGCAGCTGGCTTGGCTTCCGCGGAGGCCACTGTGGTGATGGGTTTGCCTTTCTGGTCGGCGACCGTCACACCCAGCGCGGGCATCAGTCTGAAGGCCGAGCTGCTCGACTCCATAGCCTTCAAGTCTGGAGTCACTTTCACCACAGCAGGCCCGGCTGAACTGGGGGAAGCTGAGCTGGGCGTGCTGGTCCTGGCTGGAGAGTCGGACGACTGGATAGGGCTCGACGTCACCCGCAGAGTGGCGGAGAGCCCCTTCCCGGCAGAAGCGCTTCCTGCCGCCGCGGTGGTGAAGAGATCCTGGGTCAGTTTGACCGTGGTGACCTGGGATTTGGCCAAAGTCGCCATCATGTCCGGGGTGATGCGGAGAACGGTCTGTCCCTTGGCATCGGTGGTGATGGAGGAGGGAGGCAGACGCAGCACGTCCTTGCCCTGGATGCGGAAGTTGGACGTGGCGAGAGGGATGCTGTTCCCAGGGGGGCTTTTCATGCCTAGCTGCCCAGTAATAGCCACCTAAACGGGAAAACATAACATGCTGAATTGCAGGCCCTCTTCCTGTGTGCAGCTTCATCCGCAGCTAGACAATGCAAAGTTGTGCAGGGGGCAGATTATTAATAAATACTGTATTGTGAACAAAAATTAAACCGCTCTTTCAATATTATCACTGATGGTCTGAGTTTGATTCTTTAAAAAAATCTATCTAATGGATTTTAAATAAATAATACCCTGATAATTTACTGAAATAGGGACAACAAAGAAGTAGGTTTGCTGTTACTTGGCAGCCTCGAATGGCCGAGCCCTCTGAAAAAAAGGGCCCGAACTCTATGGAAGGTGCACAGCCTTCACTCCCAAAGAAGCTAATCAGCACAAATGCAGCCTCTCACCTGTTTGATGATGTTTTGGCCAGCTACGTTCTGGAGGACAGCGGTGGATGAAGAGGAGGAAGAGGAGGACGAGGTTGTGGATGATGGTAATGATATTGTAGTGGAACTGGGGGCAGAGCTGCCTGGAGAACTCGTGGCTGGTTTGGGAGCAGGGCTTGGTGTCACTGAGATTCCTGACCCAGCCGCGCTGCCTGTGGCTGTAACAGAAACGGCTGGCTTCTGCACCTGGACCGGGCTGTTCTGAGCTTTCACCGGGATGGCCATCACAGCCTAAGAGTGAAAGAAAGTCATTAGCATTCAGACGACGATCATCTGTGTCTCCTCCATTCATTTGCAAGCTGCATTTCACTATCAGAAAGCCACAAACAATTATTCTTGCCAGGACTGCAGGGCACCTCAGGAAATATTCTTTTCTAAGCAAATAATTATTTTTCAAGGGACTGTTTCTAGGCCTCTGGAAGCCACCCACCCATGATGTAAGAGATGTTCCAATAATATTCTTTTCTAAGCAAATAATTATTTTCCATGATGTTCCAGCGACTCTCAGTTTAATGCTATCTAATATCCACTGTCGTTGAAACCTTGTACAGTATAAATCAAGCTGAAATGGCCTTGTCTCCTCCCTTTGATCCTCCTTCCTACATCATCCAAGAGGATGCCGCATAGAAGGTGCAAGACGCTCATGGGCGATGGAGGGGATGCGCTCCTAGCAGGGTCTTTGCTTATATAGATTTAAGCAACGGTTGTGACCCTAAATGTACATGTGCCCTATAAAGGCCCTGTTTTTGAAGGATGGACTGCCTGCTCAGGTATTACAGGCCACCTTGACAGAGAAAGAACATGTTCCTCTCCTGTTTGGTGCAACCATTTGAGAGCAGAGATTGGAGAAATGTTCTATAAAAGACCACTCTGCTCAACCTGAGAGAAGACTCTCCTCAACAGAGGCTTTACGTTCACTCCCGGAACATCCTCTGTTTTTCCAGAGGCTTTACGTTCACTCCCGGAACATCCTGTTTTTCTCCTCCAAGGCGGCAGGCAAGCCTATTAAAGACACTCCTGCAGAGAACAACCAACAGAAAAGATGGCAACACTACACTGGTTAGGGAGCCGGGAAAAGGATATCCATTGAGCAGACTGAGGTTTTGCACGGGAAGACCCTAAACTAGTTCCTCTTTGTTTGTGGAAGAAGAAATTATCTGCGGATGGAAGGAAAGCCAAGAGCAGTATCATCAAGCTTAACCACACATTGCATGCATGTCTCTTTCAAACACAGCCATTCGTATTCCCACTGCAAACAATGGTTGCCCAAAATGTAAAACCACAAAGTCTACCACTTTCAGAACAGGAGGAGATCATTAGGAAGGAAAGCGGCGAAGGCCGGGGGGCGGCTCCTTGTTTTTAAAATCCCACAGGCCTTCCTCACCTGAGACAGGACTTTGGTTTGTGCAGACGTGGAAGGCACACGGATTTGGGGCACAGAGGCTGCTGCGGGCGGGGGTGGCACCTGCGTGACCGTGGGGCCCGGCTGAGACGACGCTGGAAGGCTAGCCTGGGCTGTCAGCACTCGAACGTGGGGGAGCCCCCCGGAGGAGGACCCGTGGCTGGTTGCCCGAGGAAGAGGAGGCGGTGGCGGTAGAGCAGCCGGTGCCAGGGTACTCTGCGTGGTGGTGAGCAAGGTCCCGAGCTGTGGCATGGTGGCCGAGGAGACCAAAAGGATGCTGTCAGAAAAAGAATGAATGAATAAATGAATGTATATATATTTTTTATAAAATCAGTACAGGTTCACTAAACAAAGGGTTTATTACTAAAAACTGTGTGGAAATTGTGTCTACAGCCTGCATTTTAGAGATCACTTTTAAGAAAAAGAGTGGCACGGACATGTGCCATGATCTTTGGGACTTTCATAAATATTCTTCTGCACGTTCCACAATATATTGGTGCACATCCTGATGAAGATTAGGCTGAAAGATTTTTTTTTTAAATTGTCAATGGTCTAATACAGGTAATGCTTTCAGTTTTAGAGATGCTTTCCTTTAAAAATTTGTTGTCCTGCAGAAAGGAAGCAGCCCCATTTTGTTGCCTGTGCAGAAAGGATGGACAGTCATTTTATTGCCCATGTAGTATGGAAGGGTGGGCATTTTGCTGCTTTTGAAGAAAGGGCTCCCATTTTGTTTCCTGCACAGAAAGGATGAGGGACCATATTATTGCCTGTGTAGAAAGGAAGGGGTGCCATTCTTTTGACTTAGCAAGCAGAAAGGAAAGGCGGCCATTTTGCCACCAGTACAGAAAGTAACAGGTGCCATTTTGCTGCCTGTGGTGAAAGGAAGGGGCACCATCTAAAACATATTAAATAAATAAAATATTTAAGATAACAGTACTGACTGAATGGGTTTTTCCCAGTTAGGGTCACCTGTTCTCCTAGGACTATTCCTGAGTTGTTCTGACACCCAAACAAACTGTATTTGTCTTTCTAACCATTACCTCTGTTCTTGTACCAACCTCTAAACTGGGTGACACACATTAATTTGTGGGACAATAAATTTGTGGAGGAGCTTGCCTTGGAAATTCTGGTCCTGCATTCTATTTATTTTTGGTTGTGTTCACCCTTGACAGTCTTACGTTGTTTAACGTTGGAGATGGAAACCTTATCCTGCGGAGAATGCAGATCCCTCCTTCCCACAGCCTTTAGTGGGCCAGATGCGGTCACGCAAAGCGGCCAGGACCCCGGACGTCTCTGGGTTCCTGCCAGAAATGTCAGATGAAACTTCTCCACCTGGCACTTCAGGCAGGCCAACCGCTTCCTCTCCTCTTCCCTCTTCCCAGCACAGAGAAGGGAGGGATGCCTGAGGAGGGGAGGGGAGATCGGCTTCTGCCTGCAAAGGACAGCTACAAACCACAGGGTGCAAGGAGTTCCTGCTGTCTCCGGTCAGCCACCACCAGCAACAACAGAGATTCTTCTACCCTGCTCCCTACACTGGGAAGGAAGCCACAAAGGCCCCACTCTTCTCTCCAACAACCCACTGACAAGGGTGGAGATGTCCCTCTCTACGAAACAGACAGGATACCTTTGGTTGGGTTTTGCTGGTTCCGATCCAACACTTGGCAGACTCTTGCTAACCACGGAGACGGGGGGCGGTGAAATGGGCACGGCGGGCAAGGGAGGGGCTGTCGGCGTGGCCGGCGTCACAGGGGTCGCCGGCATGCTGGAATCGCTCAGGCTTAGCTGGCTGGGCTCCGAGGTGCTGCTCGTGACGACCTTCACCGAGCTCTCCTTGTTACTGGATTTCTAGAACGACCATCGCAATAAAAACCATCAGGATCTCCGAAACAAGTCCACCCAATAGCAGAGAAGGCAGGAAAGAGGAAAAAGAGAGCTGTGGACTATTATTACTCAGGGACGTCTCTTTGGATAAGACGGGCCCAGATTCAATCCTCTCCACCTCCTGCTGGGCTAGCAAGCGGCTCCCACTCATGGTCAACAGGATTAAGCCGGATGGGGGCATGCTCTGAACCACGGCAAGGTACCTTCCACTGAAATGGTACAAGTTATATATGCTTGAAACTAATTTTTTTGTGACCAGGGCTTTAACAGGATAGAACAGGATGAAGCACTGTTATCCACATCAAATTGTTATGTTGGGATGAGCTATACGGCCATTCAGTCAAGTACTATAGTAGGCCTGTGGTATCTGTGGGGGATCCGTTCCAAGTTCTGCCCCCTTTGGATGCCTGAAAGCACGGATATAGAAACCCTGGGGACCCCTGCTCTATGTCTTTGAATTCTTCTAGTGGCCAATTCTGGTAATACACCTTGGAGATGCCCATTTTGGGGTTTTTTTATTTAACATGTTCAGGCAGCGAAATAAGTGAAGCCGCAGGTACTGATCCCGCGGATACAGTGGTCCTACTGTATTGATAGTCCCCAAATCCCTGCACCATGCATTTATACACTAAGGGCAACGTACTGTCTTTGCAGGAGGCTTGGGTTTCTGTTGAAGAGCTTTTTTGGCTTTTGCTGCAGCGGCTTGGGCCTGATGAATCCGCTCTGCAAAGACAAAGAAAAAAGAAAAAGTACAATTTCTCCAACAGGTGTTAATATGGGGGTGGCAAACCTAAACAATTTCATTTTTTGCTTCAATGCACTTGCAGTTCCAAGAATGACCACTCTACAATCAACAGAAAATGGACTGAAGCAGACAATCTACCTGCCGAGGCAGTTTTTATGCGAACATTAGCAAAGCTCTGAATGTTCATCACCTTTCCTGTAAATCTGTTCCTGAAAGAGGATTTTATCAAAGCTCTGAATGTTCATCACCTTTCCTGAAAGAGGATTTTATTTTTTCCAGCTTGAAGGATAAGAGAAAGTGATCACTGTACAGTCGGGAATAAGAGGGAAATTGTGTGTTCCATCTTTACAATGGCAGAATTTACTATAAATAAGCAAAACATGTTTACAGCACTTTTGTTTTACTAGCAGGCAAGGATTTTAGTTATATTTTTGAAATCCTAGTTTTCGTTCAGTGGATCTTCAAGGCACCTAGAAGTATAGGCAACAGGCAATTATTTCTCCATGGACAGGGTGGCCCAACTAATATGCATGAGGATTTGGAGAAAGAGCCAACAGGATGGGTAGATCCTCCCCGTTCTTTTATTTCTGGAATGCTTTGATTTTTGCATAAAGGAAGTTGAATTCTGCACTGGCTGTTCTGCCCATTTAAGGTATGACACACAAATCTATTCTATCTACAGTATTAATGCAAATGGGTGCTGCAAAAGACCCACCAGGGAGAACATACCAAATTCTTCTTCACTCCTGTCTCGATGAAGATATATCCACAGTTTGCGCCCAATATCGTATTTGACGCAGGGATCCTTCTCATAGTGCAACCGGTCCAGCGCCCCGCTCACCACCGTGTTAACCTGAGGAAAGAACTCACAATGGAATTAAGGCTGCAAAACAGATCCAGTACAGAAGCATCCCAGCAAGTGTCTTCTGCGCATGGAAGGAAGAAAAGTAAGAAACATGACAAGGAATCATGCATCCAAGTCATGAATCAAAATGAAATGGCAAAATGTTACAAGGAACACACAAGACTCTGGTGACTCAAAGCAAAACTCTCACCCATCCACAATCTGTAGCTTTTGGGAACAGTTCTAACATGAAACCAGCTGTAGTGCATTATACATCTACACTATGCCATTATTAATTAATTAATTAATTAATTGATTAATTAATTAATTAATGGTGGATTCAGTATTTAGCCTTTATAACTCCTAAGAATTTGTCTGCAGTTCTCTCTTGTAAGCTATGAAATCA